CCTCGACCCGTCGTCATGCAGATACCCTTTGATCGAAGTATTATCACCTCGACCAGTCCGTACGACTGACTTAATCGGTTTTGACCGTACACAGAGATCATATTGGTAATCTGGATTTGGTGCAAAATAAGAAAGGGGTATATATCTCCAATTTGTAGTAGGGGATCTTGGTTTCGTAGAAATAAAAAAGAAAAAGAAGGGTACAAGAAACACCATAGAATACCATGCATGTTTTAGTAACTCAAAGTTGCATTTAAGGTATATCCCTATATAATCCTTTGTTAAAAAGTTCAGTCTATATTTAGAAATATTTTAGCAAATGTTTTAAAAAATATATATAAACTACTCACTGCTGAAATTAGAATTTCTCAATAAGGCCTAATTTACTATATGCACCACAATGTAGACATTGATAGCCCCACCTGATCCTTTGAGTGCTTATAGTCATACCCAACTCAAACACATGAGATGCATAATTTAACAGAAATAACCCTAAGAAAATATATGCAAAGTAAATTTAAGAAACAGAAGTATCTTGAGTTCTTCTTCCACTCACATGTTGCCTTTGATGACAAAGGAGTCGTAGAGAATACATCTCATTGCTTCTGAAAGTATCAAATCCATATGGTGGTGAGATAATTTGTTTGAGATATTCTCTCTATACAAGAAGGCTTTACCTCTAAAATCTGGGAAACTAAAAAGCAAAAGTCTCGTCGTTTCATTGTGACTTATAAATCTTCAAATTTAATATGAATTGAACAAAAAAAAAATTGATTAGGGGAAGAATGAGAAAAAAGGAACAAACAGAATACCCGAACACACTTAATTGTCCCCTTAAAATTCTTCTAGTCTCAGTTTTCGGCTGATTTATGGATGGAAAATAATTAATGAATAGACAGTTAAAATTAAGCACTACCAAAATATGATGAAATGTTCATAACAAGGTGCTTCTTCGCTAGAGAATTCTTACCAGCAATTCACTTCTCCTCGACAGTCTTCACTGTATTGCTAACTGAATGGCATGTATTGGCATTGCAAGGTTTAGTACTATAAGAAGTTTAGTGAAGGCCAACATATTAATCACAATTTTGCTTCTTCAACGCTTTCGAACCTTTCTTCTCGGACTTGTTCGATGCATTGGGGGTTTTCAATTATGCTGAGAGAGATTCAAGATAATTCTAAGCGGGAAAACAAAGAAATCGTTAACTCGTTAACTCTGCCTGGAGGGCTTTCTATTGTATACAGGGAAACTAAACAACAACAACAACAACAACCCAGTAACCCAGTACAATCCCACTAGTGAGGTCTGGGGAGGATAGTGTGTACGCAGACCTTACCTCTACCATAAGGTAGAGAGGCTGTTTCCAAATGACTTTCGGCATCCTTTCCTCCAAGAACTCCCCACCTTGCTCTTGAGGTGACTCAAACTCACAACCTTTTGGTTGAAAGTGAAAGTTGCGTACCATCAGAGCAACCCCTCTTGCCATACAGGAAACTAAAAAAACCAATAAAACAAAAAAGAGAAGATTGTTCAAGAAGAAGCAAGAGATAGAGTTAGCTAAGGAAAAAAGGGGGTGTATTTAAGAATGCCAACGGAAGTGTCTTTTGAGTTATCTAACTGAAAACGTAAGCCGTCCATTCGGGACAACCGATAAGAAAAACTGAATATATAAGCGACGGATGAGTGTTCTTTTTAAAATCGAAGAGATGATTTAAAAAAATTTAAAAGCGCAAAAAAATGAGGAAAAAGATAAATAGTCATTCTATTCAAAGAGAAGTACCACCTCACTTGTCTATGCCCCTGCTTTATATAGAAATATAGATTAGGTTTTCCAATTTCATGTATCATGGAATACTTTTGTGTGAACTGTTTATAATATTTTCCTACAAATACTTGGTTTGACTCTTTCACAACATTAGTTTTGTTTTATTTTGATTTTTTATCATAGAAGTATCATAAGAAGATATTATTTCAAATGATTTAATATGAATAAAATAAAATTATTATATTGACCTCTGATATTTTGTAGATACGGGTCCTTACTCTATATTACTTTTCTTTACACTACCTATGTATTTTTAACTATACTTATTTTAAACAAACAAATGAAAACACAAAAAAAATGATCCGCAGATGAGTTCATAAGTTGCTTCAGACAAACAATTTCACTTTTTAACAAACAGATTTATTGGCATTCAAAATAATGTAAAATAACTTAATATCATAAATAAAAGCAATAGGAAATGATTCTGAATAATAAAGCTTCTATTATTAAGTAAATCAAATAGTCAACCCCGGGCCCGCACCCTGAAACCCGATAAAACTCACAAATTCCAAACATCAATTCCGATATGTGTCCAACGATACCAATATTATCCAATTCCAACCTCAAATCGGCCTTCAAATCATCAATTTATATTCTAGAAAAGTTTTTACTAAAACTCCAAATTTTTACAACAAAATTCATCAATCAAATGCTAAAATCGAGATTGAAATTATGAAATAATAAAAAATCCGAGTTTAAAACAACTACCCCAATCAAAATCATTAAAATTCCCTCCAAAATGGCCCAAAACCGATCTCTCTAACCCAAAATGTGATAAATGAAACCACACCCCTCGTTAAAGATATTTCTGCCCACGGATAACGCATCTGTGGTCCATGCCATCACACATGTGGTATCGCATATGTGAAAATTCCATCGCAGATGCGAAATTTACTAATCTGCCGACTATTCGCTTCTGCAAAACCCAAGCCGCTTCTGCGAAAACCCCCTTGCAGATGCGAAACACCCAACTCCAACCAATGTCCGCTTATGTGCCCTCTTGTCCACACATGCGGTCTCGCGAATGTGGAAATAACCTCGCATCTGCGCACCCATCCAGACTCCATCCAGCATCGTATTTGCGACCACCATGGCCGATTCTGCAGTCACGCACCTACGACCTTTCCTTCGTAGGTGCGAAAATACTAGAAACCAGACACCTTCAGCAATTTAATCAAGTCCAAGGATGATTTGAAAACAATCCAAAACATACCCGAGGCCCCCAGGACCCCGTCCGAGCAAACCAACAAGTCCTAAAATACAACACGAACCAACTCGAGGCCTCACATCATACCAAACAACATCAAAGCGATGAATCACACCTTAATTCAAGTCTAAGTAAACTAATAAACTTCCAACTTACAAAACTCATGCCGAACCACCTCAAATCAACTTGGAAAGACCTCAAATTTTGCATGCAAGTCCCAAATGATACTACAAGCCTAGACAAACTCCTGGAACCACAATCCGAACCCAATATCAACAAAGTCAACTCTCGGTCAAACTATCAACCTTCCAAGCCTTCAACATCCCAACTTCCGCCCAAAAGTGCCAAACCAACATACAGACCTCCAAATTCAAATCCGTACATACGCATAAGTCCAAAATCACCATACGAAGCTATTGGCTTTATCAAAACTCCATTTCGGGGGTCGTCTACCTATAAGTCAAACTCCGATCAACTCTTACAACTTAAGCCTTCAATCAAGAGACTAAGTGTCCCAAATTAATCCAAAACTCTCGCTAAACCACACCAATCAACCCCTCTAAGTCACGTAACCATAAATACACATATACAAAGCATCAAATAGGATAAACGAGGCTAAAATATTCAAAATAGTCATTACAAGTTAACCTCTCCACTGAACCTTTACCGAGGCAATATTCTTCGACCTCAGCTTTCGAGCCTGCCTACCTATCCAAATTGTTCATCGGCTCCTCAACATAAGTCAAATCATTGTCCAACTTCACCAAGCTGAAATCCAACACATTTGTCAGATCAACATAGTACATTCAAAGCATGAAAACATGAAACACCGGATGAACTCTGGATAAGCTGGGTGTGAAAGAAAATTTGTTAGCCACCTCACAAGCTCTCTCCATCATCTCGAAAGGACCAATATACCGAGGGCTCAACTTTCTCTTCTTCCCAAATTTCATCATGTCCTTCATAGGTGAAGCTAGAAGAAGAACCTTATCACCCTCCATAAAAGCCACATCATGAGCATTCCTATCAACATAACTCTTATGTCTGGACTGTCTTGTACGAAGCCGTTCCTGGCTCAATTTCACCTTCTCCAAATCATCACAAACCAAATATGTGCCCAAACGTTTAACCTCACCTTGCTCAAACCAATCAATCAGAGAATGACATTGTTGACGATCAATTGTTTCCCTCCCTTTTTAATTGATTTATCACGCTTCTTGATCAACAATGACATAATAAAGTATAATTTTATAAATTAATATTCAAATTACATATTTTTCTAAAACATAAATAGTAAAAATAGTTATTAACAGTAATAATAACCTATAACTATTGTAGTAATTTAACCTCAAGAATTACGGTTATGTCACCACTATTTTTAAGTTAATTAACCAATCGACCCTTTATTTAATTTTAATGTAGCCATAAGACAGTAACTATTTTTGAAAATATAAAATTAGCTTATAAATACGTATATAGCAATTCACTAATAATATTTTAGTATATATTATTGGGATTAAATAAGCTGAATTAATTTAATTATGAAAAAAGGAGTTAAAAATTTCAATAGGCTATGCTTTCAATTACTAATTTTCAATGAAGGTGGCTATGTGTGCAATTGTTATTCTTTCACCAAAACCAACTCCATAGGGCCCAAAGAATTAGCCGAAGACGTTTTGACCCGTCTGGGCTCAAGTCCAACCAGCTCTACCATCTACTTGGCAATACATGCATTTTCGTTTACACCAATCACTACGCACCATGTCAGCCTCTCAAACATACTCACAAAACAAACACATTCATCAGTGGTCGTTGATCCAATTTATGAACGACCTGGATTAGTCGTTTTTTTCTTTTTTTAATTAATTTCGTCAAACATTAATCCCGACCGTTGGATCGAACAACTCCTATTTACCCATAATCATTTTTTCTCTTATTTTGTCTGAATATTCTTGAGTTGTCGATCAAACCTATCCGACAGTCCAAATTCGTTCAACCTCTTTAAACATATCTAAAACTCAAATCCTAATTCATTTTCAACCCACAGCATCCGTCTCTCTTTCCCTTTTCTGTCATTTCTATCACCACTGTTACCAATTTGAAACGCATCACAACGCGACTGTCGTTCCACCTCTTCATCTGTCACTTCCCCCAAATTAAATCAAGGACGAGAATCTCGCTGATACTTTTCCCCGTCCTCTCATCTCCGCCCCCTGACCCGTCTCTGAAACAGTAACCCTAAAAATGAAAATTCAAAAATCAATCATCATCACACCCTTAAAAGATCCAAAAACACATCGTCACCTAAATTCTCTCACTAAATCTCCCTTAAAGTTTCGCATGCATCTCTGAATCAAACTGGAGACACGAGATTCAGAGGAATCTATGATTTTATGCTTGTCCTGCATGATCCGTTGGTTAAAGCTTCAACCCAGTGGTGTATTTTCATAACCATGGGCAAAACTAGGGGTTTTGAGACCGCAATGGCTTCCTTCTCATCACCAAACATCGAAGGTGAATCTTTTCCTCTTTTACCTTCTTCATCAGTATTCAAACTTCGAATATTCTGAATTTCAAATTCAAAAGCAACCCTAAAACTTTGGATATAAATACCAGGCTTTAATGCCTTCAACAACCACGGGTTAATATGTTATTGAATACATAGAGTCAACTGTTAAAAACATTTTCGACTTTGAGTCGCATTGCTTTCCTTTTTCTTTTCTTCTGTTCTTGCTGAGTTTTCTCTTTGAGTTTGATTCTGGAGATAACCCTTTGACGACTCGACTCAACGCCTTGGTTTGCTGCCTCAGAGAAGGTTAGTATTCGTTTACTTCTGTTCGCTCCAGTTTATTTAAAGTTGTAAGCATGTTATATTGAATATGTGTTAATAACTTCCACGTTTGGCATATATAGTATTTGTTTGAATGTTTCATCTAGAGGTTCATGAAAATTCATATGGATAGTTATGATTTAAGTCGAAATCTATCTGTAAATATTTGTTGTGAAGTTTGGTTCTTTAGCATATTAGAAAATCATGTCTTAAGTTTTCAGGTTGATGTACTCGCTAAACTCTGCTGATATGAATACTTATTTCTCGACCATGACTGAATTTTGTTTGTAAATTCAGTAATTATTCTTCTATCTTCTCACACGAAAGCATATGTTCAAAATGTTACCTCTTGTCATCATAAAACTGTGACACCTTCGTGTGAATATAAATCATGTTATATGATCATCATTTGCTTTAGTTTAAATGTATTGATAGGGAATTGGACATTCTAAATCTTTTTTTGGGAGGCTTACTTGTCTACTGTGAGCATGACTCTCCATGAGTAAAGCATGAAACCTATTCCATAACCTAAAGGATTATGATTATAGGATTTACTGTTGGTATGCTCTATGGGCTTTGAACATGAATTGGATTAGATTACCATGTCTTGATTAATGTATTGATCACCACATTTATATAACTGTCGTAACCTTGTATAAGTCTTGTTTGGTTCATGGTTTCATAATTTAGATTCATTGATTTTGCAAACGTTATAATTATGTGAACAGAATCATGTTCAGAGGATGTTATATGAGACATGCTATTGTAATATTGTTTTGATTCATTTACTTGGCATGAGTGGGATTTTATGTATTCTTGTAATGACTTGGCCGATCGTTTTGAGTATTTTAGTCGAGTTTCCCCTATTTGATGTTTTATATATATGCAATTGAGGTTTCATGACTCGCATGGTTGGTTGGTTGGGCTTCAGGGAAGTTTTGAATTGAATTGAGACACTTAATCTCAAGGTTGGGTGCTTAAATTGTAAGAGTTGACTAGAGTTTGACTTTTGTATAGAAGACCTCAGAATGGTATTTAGACTGTTTTAATAGGTTCGTATGGTGATTATGGATTTAGGCGTATGTCCGAATATGGATTTGGAGCCATGTAGGTTGGTTTGGACCTATTTGGCAAAAGTTGGAAAGTTGACGGTTTAGAAAGTTCATAGGTATGACCGGGAGTTGACTTTGGTGATATCGGGTTTAGATTGTGGTTCCGAGAGTTAGAATAAGCCCGTTTTGTTATTTGGGACTTGTCTGCAAAATTTGAAGTAAATCCGAGTTGATTTGATGTGGTTCAACATGCGTTTTTGAAGTTGGAAGTTCATTAGTTTCCTTATGCTTGAATTGGGGTGCGATTAATGGTTTCGATGTTGTTTTGTGTGATTTGAGGCCTTGAGTAAGTTAGTGTTATATGTTGGGATTGGTTTGTGTGGTTAGGCTACTATGAGACTAGTTTGGTTTCATGCCTCATTATATCCGTGTTTTCTCTAATTAAATGATATTTTGAGCTATGATTTATGGTAGAAATCATGTCTAAGCTATGTGCTTAATTGTTTGAGACATAATAAAGCTATTCTTGCTTTTTTGAGTTGTTTGCCTTTATTGTAGACCTATTCTTAGTCATAATTCTTAATCCGTATGTTATCTCTTAGTCTCTGTACGCTATTTGTATGTCATATCACATGTTGTTGATGCCTTCAGATGTGGTACTGTTTGGGCTGAGTTCTATAAGATGTGAGCCATTGAGACTTGAACGGTTGATGACTGATGTGGGCCCTAAAGCCGTATTGTGATTTTATATTGGATAGGGTTTCATACCATAACAGATTGATATTTGGATCGGGTTGCACGCCGCAACAGTTATATTGATTGATGATTAGTGCTTGGGCAGGGATCCGCTCCTCTGGTGTCTGATGTTATAGTGAGCGCAAGCACAATGTTATATATGTACTTTGGTGAGGGTATTGTGGAAGGAACCCGTACAGTGCTGAGTGTGGATGTGTGTGTGATAGTGAATGGCACTTGTGCCAGGCACCATGAGTGTGCTGAGAGTGAGTATACTTGATGATTTCATTGTGATGTTATTGATTTGATATGTATATTTGACATGTAGGAATAGAGATGTATTTTCCTTATGCTAGTTGGTAAATGAAATAACTTATCTGTTGTTGAAAGTTTGGAAAATCACAATTTCCTTGATAAACTTACATTTTAGAAATTTCGGTGAAAGATTGGGGTTGACTGTTATACTTGGAAAGCATGTCTAATTTTCCGTAATTATGAACGAGCTGAACATGATATCTTTTGAGTTATTTACTTGTACTGTCTTCATTATATTATGAGTTATTGATTATTGGTGTTGGATACTAATTTTCTTCCAAGCTCGTCACTGCTTTTACCTCGAGGTTAGGTTTGTTACTTATTGAGTACATGGGGTCGGTTGTACTCATACTACATTTTGTATTTTATATGCAAATCTAGGTACTTTCGGGTGTGGTGATTGCTAGATTTCGCACCGGTACCAGCTTATGGAGACTACTAGGTAAATGCTATGTCGTTTGAAGACCTTGAAGTTCTCTTTCTTTATTTCTCTTATCACTATTCTATTATTCAAACAACTTGTATTGAGGATTTGGTCATGTATTTTGAGATTCTGTAGTGCTCATGTACTCATTGAAACCATATCATCGGGATGGTTGTAGTTGCGATATTGTTGCTTTTTTCAGATATGTATGATTATTTTGTTGTTGAGATTATTAAGTTATGTTATTTGAGTTTTATTATTATTGTGAAATTGTTATCTTTCCTAGAAAGCAATGTTAGGTGTCGTCGCGACTGCGGTGATAGTTTAGGTCGTGAAAAGTTGGTATCAGAGCACTAGGTTGTCTAGGTCTTACGAGTTATGAGTAAGTTTAATAGAGTCTGTAAATCGGTAGAGAGACGTCTGTACTTATATTCAAGAGGCTACCGAACTATTTGGAAACTTTACTTTCTTGCATTCTTATTGTGTGGATTTGTTAATTTCGAAGTCCGAACTTTTACTTTTCTTTTCTCTCATAGATGGTGAGGTCTCTACTTCTCAGGATAGGGGTAAGGTCTGCGTACTCACTGTCCTCCCCTGACTCCACTTATGGGACTACACTGGATTATTGTTGTTGTCCTAAATATTATTTAGGAGTTAGCTATAACATAACAAATCACGTAGGATAAAAAGGCAAACACTCTTAGGTTAGTAGTCTCATTTTATAATACTTGCAACCTTTTAAAAGATGCGTACATATTAGTTACTCATCAATGAAGCATATTTAACTAGCCTTCCTCTACTGATTTTGTCAAAGTATTTGCAAAACTGAATTCCAAATGAATAAGGCAATTGTTTTAAAGATTGATTGATCGCTTTAGAAAAAATGAAAGTGGAACTATCTTTTGAAAGAAAAACCATGCGCAGGCAGAATAGGATTCAACCTAGCTTTTACGATATAAGGATGCAAAACTATTCTAAACTCAAGTGGCATGGCCCAAAGAACTTTCTTAAGCATTTATCTTACATAACAATTACCGATCTATTTTGGAAAACAAAATTACTATAATTTTAACCACTCTCTTACATTATATTACAAATAACTCTTACTATCTTTTGAAGTAATTGTAGTAAATCTCTGATTAACACCCTTCTTTGTCTTTATCCATCAAGGTTCCACCTTTTCTAATCATTTTCTTTAAAAATTCTCTATTATCCAAGTAACCGTTCACTCCAACTAAGCTTTATAACCTCAGCTCATCCATGTAGACTTTATAAGGACCCACTTAACAACTGTATGCCATAGATTAATTAGAATGTAAACAAAACTTTTTCCCATGTGTAGACTAAGTTTAAGGAATTGCCTTACGGTAGATTTTAAGGGATGTCGTACATCTGCCCCTTAGAATAATTTGAACCATTACCTAGATTCTCACTGGTTTAGCAGATTATTAGGATATTGATTTATATCTAACTTATAAGTACCCTAGTATACCTTAAATATTAGGTAGAGACTCTTCACTTTTATGAACTTCAAGAGAACCATAAGTTATATTTTGTTTTAACTCGTGTAAAATATATTTTTATGCTTCCTTAATTTCTACTATATGTTTATTTGCTCCATCACCAATACTATCACTAGTCTATCACAATTATCTATTATTGCTTTTATACAATATTATTGCATTTTCCTATCACCTTGGCAGTACACAATTACACACAAGTCACGCGGGGTTATTTTTTCATCCTTCCGAACCTTCTTTCAAAAAAAATATTTTGTTTTAGAGAATGACATGTGAGGTCAACTGACATGCCATCTCATTGTTATTCAGTCCCACTCCCAATGTTTAAGGAACACTCTACTCATAAAAAATATAGGTCATGATGCATGTACCTTAGGTGAATCGATCCATGTCATTGACTCAAAATAGGAAAACCTCCCTAAAGTCAACATGTTATGCATTTAATGACATGTTTTCTGTTGAAATAACAAAGTAATCCACCTTTAAGACACAAAGGGTTCGAAGAAAACAAATTTACCTAAGTTGTTCTCTTCGCATCATTTATGACATTGGCATGGTCATGGGAGTGCCTCATAAATTGAAGCAATGGTGGAAGAATATCCGGAGGGCACATAGAGATGGGATTAGAACACACTTTGGAGCGCTAACATCACTGTTGAATTTTCGGGATGACATGGTACTTACAAAGCTGCTGGTCGAATTTTGGGACCCTGCCAAGGCAGTCTTCAAATTTGTTGATTGTGAAATAACACCCGTACTTGAAGAGATTATCAGCTTCACAAAGCTGCCATTTACCGAACGAAGGACAATACTACTGGTCGTAATGCCAGGCCATAGGTTCCAATATGCTTTTGGGATAGAACATTAGCTGAAACTTAAGGAATGTCAAGGATGGATGGATAAGTCTGGATCAATTGTTTGAGAGGTTCGAACACCTGGAGAGTTATGACATGCATCACGAGGAGTTTTTATGCGACAAAGAGACATGGGAAATCCTCCGCCTCTTAGCCTTCTCCCCTGCACTATTGGGACTCTTGGTCTATCCGCAACGGGGGGGGGGGGGGACGAATCAATATCAACATGCTAACTTTGATTTTAGATACATTCCGAGGAAACCTGAGAGTCACCCTCGTCCCGATTCTATTGGCAAAAATGTTTTAGGCTACGACTTCATCAAGGGTTGCAACTTATTGCTACGGGTATGGGAGATATAGCACTTATTCATGATAAAACTGACCATAAAGTAATTTGATAGCACTAGCAACATGATACGAAGCCATGAGAAACATATGTGGCACTAGGAAGCATCCCGTGGATAGGAAGAATATTGTATTTTCTTGACCCACCTTATCGGAGACCTCATCCATTGGAAGATCTCCTACATGAGTGGGAAAGCTATAGTGAGGGGATCAGAGAGATACTTTATTGAGTTGATGGGACTAGAAGGGATCTAGCCATATGCACCATTGCGAGTCTTGAGGCAATTTGGTATAGTCCAAGATGTACCCCTATGGTTCCGGATGGCCTTGTTCGGGGATAATTACAATGGCCAAATCCCGATCTTGAGAGTGAGGCGACTTAAAGAAGAGTGGAGTGATTTGGTTACCATGATCATGAGGCAAACCGCATGGTGCACTTTGAAATACTTTGCATGGATCTCCGAGGAGGACATATTGGCTAGAACCATCCAGGAGGGGCTTGTAGGTTTGAAAGATTCAAGGGCGTCTCTACAGTTATATCCTGAGATACTACCCAATTATCTCGTCACTCCCATCATGTACTAGCAAGTGGTTCCGGGATCAGTCGACTACATGCTGCCACCATCGGATAGTGATAATGATGTAGTAGAGTATTTCCAGATCGAGTCTGAGGGGGAGTCCGAGGAGAAAACATAGAAAGAGCATGGGTATCAAGTAGAGGAAATCAAGGAGGAGTGTGAAGAGGATCCTAAGGAATATCCAAAGGAAAAAATCCTGGGAGAGGATTCAACAAAAAAAAATTGAGCTGCTATTGGTTTTCATCTTGTATTTTCTAAATTCCATAGGGGCGATCTTATAAGCCCATCTTCGCATAGTCTTTGTAAATCCCTCCAGGTCCGTATATGAGGATTTGACAATTTATCCTCTATCTCTTGTATCATTTGGTGAAGGCTTTGTAGTTTCGTTTCCATACCACTATTTTGTATCCACTAGAAACTATTATCAATGAAATTCGGATTCGGATCCAGTTTCGCTCCGAATCCGAATTTGTCAAAATAGTTTGGATAATTTGTTAATACTTACAAAGTAGGACAACCTCCGGAAATGAGAGGTTCCTTCAATACCATTAGGACACGTTTGCACACTATGTGAACTAATTGCACCACATGATTCTATGGGGAAATATATATATATATATATATATATATATATATATATATATCTCTATTCTGTTCTTAAACTAACTTTTATATTGTTTCACTTTTCTTTATTGTCTACTTTTATTTATTATCCCTAGAACAAAGGTTGATTTGTGTTGACAATAAAATTAGTCGAGTCACACTATAACTGAGAACAAAAGGAAAGATGGCCGCCATAGTTAACCCGGTCGGAAATGCTCTAGCAGTAACTGATGTCCTATGGGCTTCAAAAGAAAGAGATGAAATACAGAATGATGAATATATCACCCTGTTAGAATAGGAAATATAATTATTTAGTGGGAAAGTTCAACATATCTGAGATTTTGCACACCTAGCCGCGACGACACTCCCGCAACCACCTCATTTCCCATCACTAGATTTTATCCCTGATCATTTCCCTTGATCAACCAAGCAGCCTGCCAGTACCCCAATTGACACTACCAACACCACAATCCCCACCACTTCTCATGTTATACCCACATTTACCCCATCAAACCCTCCTATACATATGCCATACGTCCTTAACTACATCCAAACTCTATAAAATCCCCCAACCACAACCAACCCGATCCAAACTCTCCCTCGTGATATTGTCACCCATGCAAACACTAATATAGTATATACCCACGGCACACATCGCCACTCATGAGCGGTATGTTCCTCCCACATATGTTGCAGGAGAGCCAACTTTCACTGCACCTGTCATGGTCAATGTGCCTTACCAGATTGACCAGTACGTTGAGATGTAGAAAGAAGCAAGATCTAAAGAAGATAAACCATTATCGGATCAATTATGTATCTTGAGAAATCAAATGAAGAATCTATAGGTTGCTCAAGGGAGCAATAGCCTAGATTGCGAGGATTTGTGAATATCGACATGCTAGTAGGATAAAAGCCTCCAAAATTTGACATTTTCGACGGAACGAGCAATCCCCATGCCCATTTGAGGGCCTATTGTGACAAGTTGGTAGGAGTAGGGAGAAATAAGAAATTGAGAATGAAATTGTTCATTAGGAGTCTGACTGGAGAGGCACTCACCTGGTATACCTAGCAGGATCCTCGAAATTGGAGAGAATGGCAGGATATGCCTTAAGATTTTAAGAATCATTTCAGGTTCAATACTGAGATCACACTTGACAGAGCCTTAGTGAATATACAGAAGTAACCTTCCAAGTCATTCTAGGAATACACCCGTCGTTGGAGGACCAAGGCAGCCAGGGCACAACCTCCGCTGGATGACAATGAATTGACAAAATACTTCATATGTGCCCAACAAGGCATTTACTTCAAACAAATGATGGGAATAATGGGTAAGAAGTTCTCTGAATTGGTCAAGATGGG